GAGGAGATCAGGCTGTGGGGAGTTCGAGGATACGTACCTGGTGGTCTTCAGGTCGACATTGCTCCAGATGCTGATGTGGAACTGATTAGATGTGCCACGTGGCACATTGAGGATACTTGGATACTCGTTCCGACTATTGATTGTTGAGGTGGCGGTGGAGGAGGGAGCCCGAAGCAGGAGTGGGCATTTTTTCCTCTCCTTTGTCTTTTCTCCTCCTCTCTCTTCGTCTGTGTATGATATCTCACCTCATTCTGTCTAGTCACGATTTTTGATTATTAGTAATCATCAGCCGATGGACATTTATCTGGACTTGCATTGTTGACAATTGTCTCACGATCTGGGTTCATTACAGCGCGACTTAAGCACACACCCTTGTGGCATAGTCCTTCGAGACATCAGATTCCGTTACAATTAGACAATATAGAAACAATTAGCACGATCCTGCAGGCAGCTTGGAAGACTGGAAAGTATGTGCTGAGTAGGAGTCAAAAACCATTAGAGTTTTCGATACCTGGCGAAGAGGACGAGCCTGTAACCTTGGAGAAAGATGATGACGAAGAGTACAAAATGTTGAGGAAGGAAGAGAAGTGAGGGACTATAAAAGCAAAAAAGAGAAGATCTGAATATGAGCCTGAGTAAACCAAAAAAGGGGATGCGTGTAAAAATGAAGTATGCAATTCTATTAGATGAAGGTTTTGACATGGAAGGAATGGCCGATCGACTCCTTGATGACCATAATGACTTGATGAACCTATAAGAGCGGAACTTAAGGTGTGGTTGTCTAGGAGAAGGGTGACAAATGTGAGCCTGGAGGATCTGATTCCCGTTCAGGCAAGTGAAAACAGGCCAACCACGAAGATGGACTGAATGTTGGTGGCTACCGGCGCTGTAAACATGGTTATAAGATAGAGGTCATGTACCAGGATGTTGGACACCGCTGCAAAGATGAGTGTTATCAAGGAAGAAGATATTGTACTGCTACGCATGGAGACCAATATTCCGATAGTGGGATCCTTCAAGGGGCAAAGAGTAAAATTGTATTCGTAGGGAATACTTATAATACCGGTCGTAGAAATTGGAAAGGTGAAGGTGCAAAATTACTTCTTCGGCATGCAAGACCTGAACCGCCCATTCTTCTGAGTAGGTTATTCCTTTGTCACACAGAGTCGTTGATACTTAACAAACATGATGGCACGATGTACCTCGTCGTGTGCGACCTTTACTGTGGGAATTATGAGGTTATTACTTTGTTGAAGTACGGGTCTCTCAACCGCAAGTTCACCTTGACTGTTTGTTTTCTTAACAGTTGGGTTTCATCACAAAAGAGGTCGTTCAACTGTAAGTTTATTTTGACTATTTGTTTGAAACAGTTGGGTTGTAGTCCAAAACTTGTTGCAACCAGAAAATGAGGCCGAAACGTCAAACGTTAGGCCTGCCGTTGATATATTGGATCGGCGGTCGCTTTTTCGCTTTGCACCTCCGGAATTCAAGGTGTCAGGCCCGTGGCCCAGGTCGCCGTGTGCTGGTGTTTGCCAGCGATTTTCTGCGGCACAGCCGCACGCAGCCGCAAGTTTTCGGAGCAAAATGGCTGGCGGTGCCAGCAAAAAGAAGGTCTGCGCCAGATCGTTTTTTTTGGCGAGTGTGGCATTTCCAGGCCGAACAAGAGAAGGAGAAGACATACTGATGGTTGAATGTGTACTAACCTGTTTTGTGGTTCCACCTTGCTCTTTCATTTTTCTCTATAGGTTGGACCCTAAAGCAGGGTGCAATGTAAGGAGGGGGGGGGAAGGAGAGACACTTAGTTTTTGACAATCACACTTCGGCAGCTGGGCGTCTAATGCTTGCAGACGCGGGGCCGCCATTTTTGGCCCTACAATATGAAATGGCTGTGCAGTGCTCTCTTTTGAAGGACGAGTCCAACTGTTTTCACTCGTGGTCGAGGAGATGGGATTAACACTTTTTTTTTTTTTTTTAAACATGAAGTCCAGATCGTAGTAGAGGCTGGATGCTGCGCGACGATGTTTCACAATATAACTTGTGTGAACCTTTTATTTTGTGCCATACCCATACATGAACTGCCCCATTCAACCCTAAGCCTAGATCTGAAGTGAAGATGAGCTACCGTCGTCCCCCAAACACAGCACACCCTCATTTTGGCGGTACGTGACAAGAAATATAGCTTGTATACATTCATTATCAGGGTTGGTCGCACTCAAGGCTCAGGGTTTGAACCTTATCTGGTGTTGCCGCTTGTGCCCAGCAGGAGAATCTTCTCCTCCATCCAAGCCTCCGGATGGGAGCCAGCATATGCAGCATTGTTCACTGTGGGAACATTCAGACAAAAAAAAAACGAAAGAAGTGCTGTGGTAACTCCGACTTCCTGGCATGCCTTGACGTGCCATGATGTGGCATATCATGATGACCCCACAGAGGAAACTATACACAGCATGGCAAAAAAACTGATTCCGTTATCTTGGTAGAGGTGCACTTTTCACCTATGTTTTTGTTTGCCTCATCAGAAGGGCGCTTCTCTCTATCAGGACTGCATTGGAGCTTTCCTTGCTTTCTTTTTTTCCTATCAAATGGCATGTTACTGCATGTGTTCTCCTTTTATGCAACCCCTCCTCCTTCTGCCTCTGTATGTTTTTTCGCTTTCTTTTCTTTTTTTTTAACCCCTCAGAAGTCTCCATCCACCCTTCCTCTCGTCAATTTCCCTGGCGCACCCTTACCCCCCCCTGTCCTACCCTACCTCTTACCCCGAAAAAAGCGTATGTACATTGTATACGAATACAACAGACAGGGTGCCTTCTTTTGAATACAACGTAGAGGGTGCCTTGTATTCGAATACAACGTATGCTGTCTGGTCAGGTCACCCCACAGGATGCACCGTACATCCTATTCGAAAAAGAAAGAGCAATTTCCAAAAGTCCGATTTTCAGAGGTAATCCAAATAGAACATACGTATGTTGTTTTCGGGGTAGCGCTAGCGCCCCGTAGCTGCCGGTCCGGCAGGGCCCGGGCCGCCGGCTCGACTTGTGTCCCGGGGGTTTCCTCAGGCGCTGGGCCTGTGCGCGCGCCCAGCAGACGTGTGTGGCGCCTTGCCACGTGGCGTCTGCTGTTGGTGATGCACGTGTCCCGCGACGCGCGGACAGGGGTAGCGCCAGCCGTGGAGAGTTTGGAGACGACGACGTTTAGTGGCGGCGGCTTCAGCAACGATGGACGGGGGCACGGAGATGGAGGAAGTGTCTGCGTGGTCCACTGCGATTAGGTACAAACTACAGTTGGAGGAGATGCATGCGACGCTGTGCCAGGTGAACATGGATCTGCCATACGAGGTGCTGCTGGAGGGAGAAGAGACCTATGATGGGCTGGATGATGAGCTCTACGAACTGATTCTCTTTCGACAGCGGGGCGCGAGTGATAGAGCGAGGGCGATCGCCGTTTTCTATGACTGCGTTGACATGGTGCAGCAAATAAAGGACAAGTTCTCTGATCTCTTGGCGACGAGATATGCGTGTGGCTTGCCAGGCACTGAGATACAGATAGCATCTACACCTCCAACATGTTCTGCAAAATCACCAACAACATTAACGTCACCAACTTCGACAACATTGGATTCGACATCGATTACAGTTACATCATCGCTGATTGTATTGCTAAAAACGACATCCATGATGGCGATATCGCCATCTGCAGCGGCGAGGCCAGTGATTACTGCGAGCTCTGCTCAGCGAGGGGGGCTGCTTGAGCAGGCTGACATGGCAAGGGGGCAGGAAGAGGGGCTGCCCTCTGGGGTGGATTGTGCGAATCACCTATGCTTGGGTGCGCTCACAAGTCGCGGAGCCAGGGGCCTTGAGGAGGGGCGGGGCCTGTGCGCCGAGTTCGTTGAGCGGTTTCACAAGGATGGCGATGAAGTCACTGTCGTTGGTCTTACTGATGGTGATCTCGCTGCTGATGATGTGACTACGAATGCCAAACGGCAGCTGCGATGGAAACAACAATAACAACAATGATAATTACACAACATGCAAACATGAAAGCTGGAGGATATCAAATAGGGGGAAGACACTGGTAAGGGAGTAAGTGCGATCCGGTTGCTTTTCTTTTCCCGGTCCTCCTTGGCTATCTTGCTTTTGTGTGCTGTGGGGCGCGATGGGGGTCGGGGACGTGAGGGATGGGTGATTGAGAAAAATGATGAGCAGGGGGAGGGTGCGGGATTATGGGGGAAGGGTTGGGGGCGGGAAGGGGTAGGATAGGTGATGCCCTTCACCCCTCCGCTTAAAATGCGTATATCAAGGTTGAGAAGTGGGGGGGGAGATAGGTGACTTTGTTCACCGATTTACAAATTTGTTTGCGACATTGACCGCTGCGGATCGGGCGAATTCGCAAGGAATTATAACGATTTGCCACGGCAGCATAGAGCAGTATAGATGGTATTATCGCCTGTGGCGATTTGTTGATCGGTTATGTGTTGCGCTGCCGTGATTTTACTTCTGGAAATCTCTGTTCCGAATTCCCCTCCTTAATAGTACACGATGAGGGTTTGGGACAGGGTACTTTGATTCTATAGGGAGGACTACCTGATTTCCTCAATAAGGGGGCAATCGAGGTTGTCGGTTAGGACAATTTGTGCTATGAGTTGGGTGGTCTGTTGTGCATGGTTTTAGATTCGACACGTGCCACGCCGACATGATAAGTGCTATACTTGCCAACGTGGAAGTGCTGTGTGTCAGCCATGCGTTGTGCTTACGACTTAGTAGATGCAATAACTCCCTGTAATCTCTCGCTCTGAAAAGCCCCTCCCAGCTATTGCAAGATCACAAGGGTTTCGGAGGGGGAGTTTTCTTTTCATAACGATGAGCAGCTTATCCCCTCAGTATTAACTGCAATCAAAGATGCTCATCAGGATACATAGCGCCGGGTGCTGACTGGTTTGTTGTAGTGTTGACACGTGGTGCGCTGATATGATTCCATAATTGTCAAGGGACGCTGGACCTGATTTCCAGCAGGTGTTGCTCCCCACCAATAGATGGAGCCTCCCCGGGCATCATCCGGGCATGCTAGTGGTGTTTGCTCTTATCAACACCACTAGCATTAACCTGGGTTGTTGTAAAAAGTGTTAAACACCTGGGAGCATCACCCATTACTATCTTGGTGGGTTGGCTTGACCAGACAGCGGTCGCAGGCACCTTGGATGAGTAGGAATGCTTGCTCAGCCCTGGTTGAGGCAGAGTCGAACAAGGCCATTGTACAGGTACTTTGGGAGCTAGGTATGAACATGCTACTGCAGGCCTTCATGAGGGGGTTTGGAGTGTCTCCCAAACTACACCCGGGTACTCCCAGTAGATGCTTTCGCATGCACCTCTAGGTATCACAGGCAGTGTTTTATGGCCTGACCCTGGCCAAGGTCTAATCTATGACACGCCGGGGGCGACCTGAAGACTCGGAGTCCCATCTAGCACAGCCGACTTGATAGCGTAGTTGATAGCCTAGTTGATAGGTGAGTTGATAGCCTAGGTGATAGCCTAGTTGATAGGTGAGTTGATAGACTAGTTGGTAGCCTAATCGATAACCTGTTTTTTTCATTCGTATGAGATAGAGACCCGAAGATGCTCTGTTCCCTTGTATGATCTCAGCCAGTACCAGGATGACAGCTACGCCAGCCACACAACGTGGACCCTGGATCAGTACCTGGAGCTTGTTCTGGTACCCCGATACATCTGTACTAAGGTGACAACTACACCAGCCACACAACATGAACCGTGGACCGGTACCTGGAGCCCGTTCCGGTTCCCTGAAAAGTCTCTGCTACGCCAGCCATAACTGAACCTAGAGCTAATACCCGGAGCCCATCATCATCATCATCATCATCATCATCATCATCATCATCATCATCATCATATGAGGGACGTTGAGCCCGGTTCTCAGCATGTTCGGTTCGGTCACTCCGGGTAGACTGTGAGGACCCCGGCCTCAATCTTCTTATTGGTAATATCAGCCTTGGGCACTGGGCCCGTTTTTCCAAAAAAAAAAGACCAAGACACTTGTGGACACATACTATAAGTCTGTACTAAGGTAACAACTTCTACAGGGACGCTGGACCCGATTTCCAGCAGGTGCTGCTCCCCACCAATAGACGGAGCCTCCCCGAAGGTGCTGGGGGTGTCTGCTCCTATCAGCAACCCCAGGTTCATTAAAAAAAAAAAAAAAAAAAGGTAACAGCTTCGCTAGCACAGCGTGTTCCGTTGGAGTCCGACTGACTAATTGGAAGGCTGAACCCTTCACCCGATAACATAGAGCGCTAACAAGTGCTGTGGACCGGAGCGGCAAGGCCCGTCCGCACTCCATAGCCTTCGGAGGGAAGATGCTGAAGCCCGAGTAGGCGTGGGTAGCCTGTGACGAACCATCTTCTGTAATCACGCGACTTTCTGCGCGAAGCTGCCTTGGGGAAATGGATGGGTAGGATGGATGAGCTGTCAAAAGATGGGTCGGTTGGGCAGATTGCATGGATGCCCTCGTTTCTTTCTGTTTTCTGAGAAAATCTGTCGGGTCGGTGCCGGGAAAGTCCCGCGCCAACGATTGGGTAACCACGCCTTAACGAGCGCGATGGCCAACGGTTGCCATGGCTTCTTTCTTGTTCTGCTGTGAGTGCTATGAAATTTTGGCGCGATCATCGCACGGGAAATATCGTTTTTTGTTTTTCAATTTTCGACTGATGTCAAGGCCCCACGGGCTCGCGGAATTGTTTTTGGGCTCTTCGGAATTTCCTTTTGCAATTAGGACTTAGGCTAGGAATTTAGGCACTCTGAATTTTGTTGCGCCGCTCTTGCACGCATCTTGCTGTGCTGGGAACTGGGCTCTGACTGGATCGCGCCCTTAATCTTATGCAACTGTCGCTTTTGGCGGGCGCGATTGTAACTGTATTTTTCTTCTTTCTTGATTTCCTCGTGTTTGCCCGCCTTCTTCTTCTTCGTCTTGCATGTTTAATGCTCCGTTCTAATTGGCCTGAATGCCTGCATGACCGGATCGATGCATGGAGTGCGGCTACGACCCCCACGCCGCGACCTGGCCATGCAGACGTAGGCACTTCCTCTCTTCTGCTTCTGAAAACTTGGGCTTAATCCCGTATCTTTCGCGCAAGCATGCATGCTATAAATTTCGCAAGCGCGATTAGTTTGCTCTCTATGAACCTTGGAGTTAGCGTGATCAGTGAGGGTCGGCTAACTAGTCAGCTGGAAGAGGTGAGTCGACGAGAGAGTTGGGCGATCCGACGAGCTGGTGTCGGGTATGCGAGGTTGACGTGGGGGCCGCGACGGACTGTGGCGCACGGGCGAACCTGGCTTGCATGCACGAACCAAGCGGGGTGACAACTCTGTGTTGATGCGGGAATGAGGTTTCTTCTTCCATTTATCTGTATAATTTCGGGATTCTACCTTGGCCGATATTTTTGCGGCCCTCTCGGACTTTTTTTGTAAATCGTGTCGGGTTTTCTTTGTCGTTCACTTCATGTGTATGTATGGAATGGAGGTGAACCCCTTTCTTTTGCGACCTTTTCGGATTTCTCTCTCCTCTTGTCCTATGATGCATGTTTAGTTAATTTGTCACTTTCTAGTATCCATCTGCGTCGAGCAATAGTCCCGGATCTGATCGGAAATACTTGCTACAGACGTCTGATTTTAACCATCAGATCACCGGGAATGCTGTGACAGCCCCCTTCTCCCCCTTCTTCTCTTTCCCTTCGTCACCTGAATGACATGGATGGGAATGTAATGGCTGGATCTCACCCGAGATAACTTGGGTAGGCTAGTTGCATGCAGGGAGGACACAAACGATACACGACGCGAGGAACCCGAGCCTGACCAGCTTCCGCTCATGTGCGCCCTCACGTACGACCGTGATCTCGAGGTAACCGAGTCGCAGCGTACTCGCGCGTCTGCATGAGTCAACCTCGACCCCGACTCATTATGAGGATGCGGGAGACCGAGTTCACTAATCGGATATGGTTGTAAGAACCCCCTCTTGGATCATCGATCGTAAGAGCCTGAGGGACCCGGAGCATCGTGAATACCGGGAGGGCGAACAACTCAGACGGCGGGGAAACTTGAGAAACCCGGAATTCCCCTGCATGACGGAGAACGATCGACTGTGCGCGGGGGAATTTCACTGGGCCATAACTAACGATCCTCAGGGCCCGGACTACCCGGATACTAACAACACTCAATATTACATATCACCAGGCTTCGTCGTTATTGCTACCAGCTTTCCTCCCTTGCATCTCCTCCTCCCGTACCATCCGCTCACAGTGGCAATGTGGAATTTCATAGCGCGATATTGGCCCCCCACACCGTGCGAAGAGTGCCGGCAGCACCAGGCGTATCGGGCTTCCGGATTTAGCCGACGAACCCGAGCCGAGGCCGAGCGGCGCCGGCAGCTGTTCGAACAACGTGAAAGCCATAGCAACCCACCGGTCCACCAGATATGGGACCAACCGCGATGACGACACTCATACCGGAGGTAGCCTGGTCTCCCGAAGTCCAATATAACTTAGGACCACCATCTTGCTCAACTACCCCTAAGCTTGCCACTGGAGATCTCAATTCTGACCTGGGACTCCACCCCCACTTTCCTAAAATCCCTGGCACACCCCTTTTCGCACTTCCGGGCCCCCATCCCACTCCGATGAGGAAGTCGCGCTAGGCGTGAGGTTGGTATCAGAGAGATACGTGGAAAGCCCACAGTCTTAGCAAGAAGGTAGTTAGCGTAGAACGATCTGGCTAACAGAGGACGACCCAGACCGTGGAACGCGCCACGACGAGATCCTATAGCAACAAGAAGTAGGTTGAATACTCGACAGGCAATCAATATGAACGCCAATCAGCAAAACCCCAACCAGCTCCAACAGGCCCCCGCTCCATGAGTACGGACACCTGTGGCCCCGACCGATCTCTACCTTTTTATCGTGTGCATCATCTCGCGGGAGCATGGCTGGCCACGTTTCATGCGCAACAGTACGACAATGACGAAACGCGAATCAACATCCTCGTCAGATT